AAAATTGAATCAAATAAAATGTTATGTCCTGAAATTCATATTCTACACCGACAAAGTCACGGGGAATAGCTAGTGTACGATATAACCCCACCTCTTTTAAAATATAAGTTAAACTGACATAAATTAGAAATGTAAATAAAAATTTCATGCCTACTATACTTTCAAAAAGTTTATCATATTGAGTTCTAATATAGAAAGAAAGAAAACAAGAAAAATTTGTTTAATTGCAAATATGTAGGTGTTATCCTATTACCACTTGATTGAAACATCATACATGAAGGAATAATTTAAAGTTTAATGGTTCGTTCAAAATCACCCCACCATACAAGTTTCGCTTTATGTTCATCTAATTACGAAGGCTCAAAACGTCTAACTTGTTGGAAGATATGTACAATTTGCCTAATGACTTCGCTAATCTGAAGCTTGCAAGCGTGAGTGAAATTAGAGTCTTGTTTCTGGATTAAATATTATTCGATTAGGAGATACCTCAATGATTGTTCGTTTTAGTATTTTTTTGTGTCTGGTTTATGGTAAAACATACAATTGGGATGATGATAGGGTATGAAAATTTAAAGTCTAATTAGTCCGTAAACTATGTAATGAAAAAATATTAGACCCGTATTTTTTTATTTTGTCATAATATAAAACAATACTTAGAGATAATACGAATGAAAGTTTAGGAGTGGGGGCAAAAACGTCATTTCTATATATAAAATGTACATAGAAGTGACGTTACGCGACATTTCAAATCAATATATCGTCGATAGTATTCGTTTCTGTTATAAAATAAAAAATACGTATCTAATGATTTAAAATAATCTACTAGACGGACATTAAAATAAAAATTAGGCATCTACCCTATTATTGATAGCTTTAAATTTCAATGAACAGGTTAAAGTTAATCTGTTTCACATCAGATCCATTGTATATTGTACTCGTGTTCGTGTGTAGGAATGTATTATAACTTTATTTATTTATGTATATGTATCTCTCAAATATACAAGTTTGTCTTTCTTTTGTTTGCTTGCCTGTTGCACCTTTTTTTTTTCAGGGGGACAATCATCCAATGACGTATCCCGCCTTGGGTTAGGCCAGAGAGAATGTCAGACTTACTGACTAAATACCACCCCGTTCCTACTCCTGCTTTTCGAGCCGGAGCCCCAGCAATCCCTTAGGCCTTCCGCGGCTCCGTATCGGGCATCAGCCCTACTGGGCCTCATCTGTGGTAATCTGAACCATTTACTTACTCTTCTCTGCATCACCCAAAGATCAGACTGGTAGGAAATGTCTCCGGCATAAAGTTCACTTAGTGTACACTTTGTATATGAAAAATATTAAATAAATAAAAAATAAATGTAATCTGATAGAATTGCCTATATTTTACCGCCAAAAGCCTTGCACTATTAACTCTTTGTACCACAGTATCTAGTCGTATCCATAACTAATGGAACAACAAAAGTTATTTTATACTTTTATCTTTATAATGTTGAATTGTCATACGAATCTCTTTTTTACAAGTATCGGTTGTCATCTTGTGTTCACCGCCTTCTCAGTTATATCATCTTTCACACACGATTGGTTTTTCGTACTATGGGAATATCTATTGTCGTTGTTCTGTGTACTTGCCTTTAGGTACCTAATAGATATGACGATACAAAATGCTATTGGAAATTGAAAAAATTCTAGGAAGTCCTCTTCCTCGTTTCGAGGCGTGATTCTCTTATCTCTCTTTTAAAAAACTTAAAAAAAAAACATTAGGATCTGTGTCGTGGGTGTGTTTACAAACATACAAGTTCACATACACAATGACACCCAGATTCATATTACTGTTATTATTCTTAGGAATCAGACAGACGTATGTTTCTTATTCAACTCTTCAATAGTGGTCGCTATGTTAGTCAAGTACAAGCAACAATCAAGCATAGGGGCGTAAGAAATTGATAAAAAAATGGAAATATATATTTTATGTAATACCTTCATTATTCTTATTTACTTTGTTGATATCATTTCATTCATGAAGGTTAGTCGTCATACTTTAATGTATTTTTTTCTATAAAAACGTTGCCCCACATTAGGATTTTCTAGATGTCGTGGGTGTGTTTACAAATATACAAATTCACATACACATGACACCCAGACCCGAAACAACAATTTGTGGATTACACAGTCATAGTATTGTTCCGTGCGGGAATCGAACCTACGATTCGTTGCACGGCAGCCGGTTTCCCAACCAAAGCATCAACCGTGCAGTCATCTTTATAATAATAGCTTAGCAGAAAAGTTGACGGTAAGTATGAGAATGCGAAAACTAACAGTTAACCATTTAGATAGCAATCCTATCAAAATAGACCAGAAACATCAATTCTCATTCAAAATCATACCGAGACCAACTTTACAGATTCATCAAGCTACAACTTGTAATCGCCAAGCCCAAGATCTGAATCACGAAGGGCCTTTATGACAGAAGTTTCTGATGTCAGATAATGCGGCCTTAAGGACACAATAATTGTGCCCTCGACGATTAAAACAAGGGTCCCATGTTATGTTAATTGTTTACGTGACAACCCTAAGAATGTACTAAATACTAAACGCTTAGGTGACCTGGTAATTAGGGAGTGATTTGTGGACATTGAATCCTGAATTTGATAAATTCAATGTTTTTCGTAGGATTTAGGTGACTGTTCTTGTTGTATTTATTAAAGTTGTTTCTTTTAGTACTATACTTTTGAATATATACACATATCTTGTTTAACCATTGACATATGGCATGGCTAGTGGGTTAAAAGATGACAGTTTAGAAGCATGAAAAACAAAAATGATGTCAAAGTTTAGAATTACGTCACATGGCCTAGAGTTATTCTACTGCCGTTGGAATTTTCGATTAAAACTATCCGACAAGTACATTAATACAGTAGGTAAGAAACAAATATGCTTCCGTTATTTAATTCATTTAAAGTGATTTACAAAAAGTCAATAACTACGAGTACAATAAGTACATCAATAGTTTTGCACAACACATGTATAAAACTATTTACAAAGCCCCTGTTATTCAATTGTAGGCAAAGAGCAAATACTCTCTTCTATCGAACTTTTAAAATTCGTGTCAATGAAAATTCATACAGAATATCCCTATTTGTATATTTGGACAAACTGTTGGAGCTTATATTAAACCTATCATCATCAGTGATAGTCTGCCGCTGGACTATACATCTACTTTACATACCTTTATTTCTAACTGTCCTTTTGCGTAGATATTTAATGAACTAATTGTTATTTATATTCCTTTTGGCTTTATATTCCTCACTCTGAAAGCTATATTAACAGCTACGATAAGGGTTGTATAGTTTTGACATTGAATAATTACCGATCGGCGCAGGTATAAAATTTCAATATAATCTATTCAATAAAAAAATAGGTGCTATCTGTGCCGACACTGCACCTGTTTCTATTGGTACCGACCCGTGCAGATTTATCTTTACTGGAAACCTATTTCTTTATGTAAGCACCCTTTAACGATAAAGCATATTGCATTTTGAAGCATGAACCAATACATACATTAACATTAACATAACATCACGCCTTTTATCTCCGAAGGAGTAGGCAGAGGTGTACATTATGCCACTGTACAATGTACATAACACCCACTTTTCACTATGAATGTTACGAGTCCCATGTAATAGGGGGTGAGCCTATTGCCATATATCGGGCACAATTCCAGACTCCGTGCTACTACTGAGAATTTTTAAAAACTCAGTAATACTTTGCCCGGCCCGGAAATCGAACCCGAGACCCCTTGTCCGACAGTCGCACTTGCAACCACTCGGCCAACAAGGCAGTCTGAACCAATAATGTTATACAAATTAGGTTAGTACATAACATAACTTCATCCCTTTTATACCCAAAGGGGTAGGCAAAGATGCACATTACACTGCCACTGTACAATGTACAATGTAACACCCACTTTTCACTATTTATGTTATGAGTCCCATGTAATAGGGGATAAGCCTATTGCCATATACCAGGTAGAATTCCAGACTCCATGCTAATATTGAGATTTTTTTTAAAACCCAGTTATACTTTTGTTCGACCCGGGAATCAAACCCGAAACCTCTTGCTCACCAATCGCACTTGCGACCACTCGGCCAAAGAGGCAGTTATAGCCAAATTAGGTTATTATATTTCAGTAAAATAATAATTGAAAAAAAAAAATCATTATTCTTTATCTTCACATCACTTCTAATTACCGTAGTCAAGTGTTTTCAAAATACTAATTAAGTTGTCAAAATCAAGATAAGAAGTCTAATTTCCATTTAGTAGGAATGACTAGCTGAAATATTTACCACTGAAACATATTACAGTTTCAGTAAATTAATTTACGTATTCAACGCATGAAATGTCTAACAATTTCGAAAGAATAAATTATATTATTTTAGTTTTTATTTTTACTTCTGAATGTCATTGTACGCTAAATAGCGGTATGTAGACGTATTTATATTTATAATATTTTATTGGGTAGTGAATTCTTTTTTCGTTCTTTATCCTTTTTGTTTTTAAATTTTCTTCTATGAGCTTACAAACATACGATTTCGTACACTATACACACAGACTCGAAACAACAATTTGTGAATCACACAAAGAGTTGCTCGGTGCGGATATCGAACCCGCGATAGAACGTTATACGGTAGCCGGTTGCAGTACTTACATTAAGTCTGTACCTATTTAGTCCCTCGTTGACACTATCAGCTCGTTGATAAGTGCGGGGGCATGACGACCACACTGTCGAATTTGCGAAGTCGAGATAATTATGACATAATATTACGCACTCAAAACCCAAGAAGGATGGTTTACGATAACCCACTTTTCACCATTTACGTTATAAGTCACAATGTAATAGAGATGAGCCTAACAATTAATAACATCTTGAAATACGTCCACAAATAAATGCAACCACTCTCACCTTGATCAATGAACTTACCTGTAGGTTTAATAAAACAAAAAAGAATCATTCACAACAAACAGATATAATTTATTGCCCAAAAAACACTGTTCAGTAAGGTCGGACACAGTTACTCTTGAATGACGCTACAATATCATCGAAGGTGTAAGCATCAGAAATCACAGGCGCATCGAAGAATGGATCAGTTGGAGCAGAACTAGATCCTCCCGAAAGCCCATCAGAAGATGGGTAGACATGGAAAGCAACTGGATAAACATAATTCTGTTCATACGTCACTTCACCAGCAGAATTCCACGTCATCCTCTGGATCTGTCCATGCCAACGCACCACCACCGATGGATAGGCATCACCGCCTTGTAATGTCCGGAACTTGCATTCAAACTTCAAAGGCAATACCTTCACATCATTGTTCTCAGGCACAACAATCGTTTCTGTTTGCTGCGCCACTCTCCCCTCACATATTTCAAGCACAAATAATAACAGCAGAGGAAATAAATACTTCATCTTGACTCAGTAAAATGACACCGGCGAATGAAGCAAATTTAATGTGGCCCATTCCATTTCACCACGCGTAAACATCATTAGATAAGGAGGGTAAGAGTCAAGTTAATGTGTTTGTGTAAGATAAAACTATCGCTTTATATCTCTGCCAAATGTCGAGTTTAATGTTTTTTTGTTCACGATAGTAAAACTCTGGTGGCATCTTAACGTACACGGGGTTTTTACTGCATGTAGGTAAACAGGAAAATAGCAATGCCTTTTTATGATCGGTGACCTCTCTTACTGAAATAATCTGACATAGTAGCAAGATATAGTTGAATGCACCTTTTATACAATAAACAAATAAGGTCTTATTTACCTAAGTAAGAACAACAAAGTTTGTTATAGTTACAGTAGATAACTACACCTTTAGTAACGTTCTCTCCTTTATTATCCGAATAGTATAATTGCACAAATATTGCTGTTTATTAAGAGAAAGAGTTCATTTAAGTAGATCGTTTAATTGAAATTGAAACCCAACTTTCTATCCCATTTCGCATTAAAACAATTAAAGTTTTATGTAGCAGTGAACAGAATCTTCATCTACTGGGAAGATTAACGCATAGTCTTGCCCAATAGCGCGCCTAGGATATCCTAGGAAACTTTAGATCGTGACTTAGTACGGTTCGGTCCATAAAGCATTTTGGTTCCGCGGCTAAGTTCACCGGGCGAAAGATCAAAAGGAAGCTCGGATGTAGGGCGGGAAATAGTTTCAATTAGCTGGTTTGTGTTCTAGGTTTAAAATTAAGATTAGATTGCTATTTTTAAAGGCTTCTAGTGATTATTTTTACATAATTGATACGTACTTAAAAATGCAAGATATTGATTAAAATCGCGACTGAACTTGGCTTGATTACAAAAATTTAATGAAAGTATTCTGTTTCAAATCATTTACAAAGCTTTGTTCTTTAATGTCTTCCAATGAAAGATTAAAGTTAAAGAATGAAGAAAGTGGTTCTATGGTGGTATAAGACTGATCTTCAGTACACTACAGTCAGTAGAACTACTTTCTTCTTAACAAAATCTATGGAAACTCAGGAATTCTAGTAGTTTCTGGTGTCTATGTAATTCTGTATCCAGATTATCACAACGAACTTGATTAGCATAGTCGATATTGATTAAGCGAATTGTAAGCAGCATAAGGTTACCGGCACGAAGGTTGTTTCGAGTTATATTGTCTAGAACACCTTCACAACGTGGATAACTTTGTAGCGAGAATGATTGTGTTAAGTGCTTGTTCACGTTAAACGCGCGGGCGCGAGCGCGGGTGCGGGCGCGGTAGCTAACACGAGCATGTAGACCGCCAGGCGTTTGCACGAAAGCGATAAGTACAAACCGTTTCTTTCAGCGCGAGACGCTCACGTGAGAGTACGCTCACTGTACCTTTCTAGTCCGACATGAACGCACCCATACATCTGTCGAGTTGTTTTGAGTAAAACAGAAAATAGCACATTACATAGGTTTATTTCACGAATCACAATCAAAACCGGTGGCGGTTTATTAAAGCCGACACAAAAAAATACCCAAAGCTATGGCGTTGGTGAACCGAGTATGAGAAGAAGAATCGCGGCGCTCGCGCGGCTATAAGTTTTTACATCCCAGTCCCGCGCGTCACCGCCTCTATGATCGATGACCATAGTAATGCGCCGACATATGTTTATGCATTTGATACTACCGAATCGCGCGCCAGTTTCTAAGGTCCCCGTTACTTAACGCTCTTGTGTTCTATGTTTGATAGCTCGCGACCGCGCCCGCGCCCGCGCCCGCGCCCGCTACCGCGCCCGCGTTTCTGTGTGAACAAGCACTTACAGCTACAGTCGCGTTACATTGTTAGGTACAGAAACGTGATATAATTGTAACAACTGAGAATTGTCTCACGAATGGGTCTAATGTTATCAACTTAATTTTGTCTCTTACTTTAAAATGTTTTAGTTTAGATAAAGGTCTATTGTATCTTTTTGTTTATGTTTAAAGTATTTTTTATTCTTAATTGAATGTCATTGAGGTGTAATTATTGTTATTAGGTTATTTTACAGTAAATGCTCGTTGCTAGTTCGAGTTTTAAAATTTATACTTATCTTTTTATTATAGCATATTTTATAGTGACGAAACAAAACGCAAGCGTGGTTTTACATCGGTTTTCTATCTATCACGATATGTTTTCTATTAATACTATTATTTAACTCGTCAAGTACCGTCATTATAGACGTGTTATAGACTCAATTATACCTCTAGAACAATAGGTTGCGGTCACCGGTGACCGCTCGGTATTTAGCAGTTTAAGCAATCAATCGTAATTTAGTCACCTCGTTTGTTATTTATTAGAGACAATAATTATTATCAGTGTTTTGGCGACAATCTATAGATCATCTTTGCTTTTGAATAGTAACAAATGTTTTTCTCTTATTTTCCTGTTATAGGTTTTTGTTTTTTTTCCTGTTATAAACACCTAATGCAAAACCATAGCAAAATGAATTAACATATACAGGGTGTAAAAGGACAGCTTCCGAAACGCTGACATAAAGAAATCATATTTACAATTTTAATCATCATCAGCCTAAAGCAATTGATTACAACTATTATTACATAAAATAAACAATTCCTAACTATTATGAAAATGAAAGTCGTTTTTTTCCATCACCTGTCGGCGTTTCTCGGAAGCGTCTTGTTTACACCTGTACCTAATTACCTACCTACGTGAAACGAACAGCAATAGCTATAAAGATGTTTAGTACTAACCTCTGCCATATATTTCTGACAAATCAAGGTTTTCCGCTACTAATACAAACTAGTAAACCTAGCAGGAGAATAAGGTCATAAATCATAAAAAATGTTGATCAAAACCAATCAGGTGCCACAATATAAATATTTTATTTCATGTAACTCTGACCCGAAAACAGGTACATAATCTGTCTATACGTACAGATTTGTATTATAAAAGCAGTCATAAAATTTGTAGGTGAACTAATATAAAAGTCACAGCGGTACAGTTTGGTCAAGACGACGGTGAATATATATAGTAACTATCGCATTTCGGATCCGTATATGGGAGGGCAATACATCCGAACCAAATCCACAGAGACCAAGAGCCCGTAGAGCAAATAATATTTTATCTTATTTTCTCAAGACTTGTCGTTTTATACGTCATTCATTTATTGGAAAACTTTTCTAGATAACATTTAGGTTGTATGGATAAGATTTTTTCATGTTTGTTCTAGGGTTTTTGTTATTTAATTGGTACGATGTTCATCATTGACTTCTTTCCTTTAGGACCTATTTTACATGAAAGGAGTTCACCATAAAGATAAGTTGAGGGTTGGAGATCGTGGTTTAACCTCTTATCTGTCGACATGTGAGACACAATAGAAGACACATTGTGTCTCGCGTATATCTACGTTCCGGCATACCACGGGTTAAAAGGTTCATGTCCATCAGAGAGCGCTGCTGCGCCATCTCTTTAAAATGTGTAGTTTTTTAATCGACTCTTAGGGTGCGTCCACAGCTCACGAACATATCGCTACCTGCGCATTCGAGGAGCATTCAGATGTGGACTCACCCTTAGACCACTCGCGGGAAAAATTAATGTATTCTAGGTACTCTTTTTTTTTTTTTTTTTTTTTTAAGGGGGGAAAATCATCGAATGACTGCCCCCGCCTGGGTGAGGCGGGAGGGAGTGTCAGACTCTTACTGACTAAAAACCACCCCGTTCCTTCTCCTGCACGTCGAGCCGGAGCCCCGGTTACCCGTTAGGTTCTCCGCGACATTCTAGGTACTCTACCATCACTACATGACACGGCATACGGTACGATGTTCTATCTTGATTAAACTCCTAACTTCGTTTGTACTCCCAATGTAATTGAAGACAAAGTATCTAAGCAGCACTCCAAATTATTAGCGACTTCGTCACTCGCGAAAATTGTTTTACACAAACTTTTGAGACTAAAATGTTTGAATTTTATCAAAAGTTAGACCGAATTACTTTTTAATTAATACTCTTAATTAATGCCGATGTTTATTGGATTTTACCAGCGTATAAAACGCAAGAACCAAAGCTTAGCGAATATTGGATGGTTCAGTACCTATGTGTTTTCTGAATGTAATTTACTTAATGTGACAATACAAAATGTGACGAAACCAATAAATTTTAATTTGATAGTGATAAACATTCAAGTTATTAGATTTTATATTTACATTAGTATTGGTTTATATAAACAAGATATGTAACATAAATCCGATTGTAACAACCCAAGGGAATTGATATAACTCAATTTACACAGGTGGGACTTTTAAATTAATATTTAAATTGAATAGTTACTATACTGCTTCCCTGATGTGTGGACGCAACTTCGCAAGCGAAACTGCAAAAGCAAGGGGCTTTGGGTTCGATTCCCGCGTCAGGCAAAGTAAGTAGGTATAACCTTAAACTCTGCCCAACCTCCTTCTGGAATTAGAGTGGATTTACCAACAATACTTTTACATGAGTCCACCTAAGATAATTCTTTTATAGACTACGTTTAAAAAACTTACTTCAACCCCCTCTTTTTTAAGTCGGTTAATTAATACTAATAATAAAAACCTTCACCTAAGTAAATCAAAACACGATCTCCAGCCACCGTCAGCACGGGCCTGCGGACGGCAAGTATGTGTGACCAGAACCAGATCGGAACGTGCGGCGCGTCGCGTACCGTGCGCGCCTCAAAGAGCCATCAGACCACCACAGATGGGGCCCAATAGGGCTGGTGCCGATACAGAGCCACAGGGGACTTAACAGGTTACCGGGGCTCCAGCTCAAAGTGCAGGAGTAGGAACGGGGTGGTTATTAGTCAGTAAGAGTCTGATACTCACACTGACACATTGCCTGATTGGGTGATTTTCTCCCCTTAAAAAAAGTTAATCACGATCGGTTCAGCCAATCCCGAGATAATTGCGCACAAACAAACAAACATACATACATACAGGTGAAACTAAGAACTTCCTTCTTTTCTTTTTGAAATCGGAAAAAATATGTTCTTC